TCTCTCTCTCTCTCTCTCTCTCTCTCTCTCTCTCTCTCTCTCTCTCTTATCTTATCTTCTCCATGCAGAGGACATCTGGGTTACAGCTCTCAGTAGAGCCAACATCCCTCTGACAAGCTGTGAGCTGTACCGTGTGTGTGTGTGTGTGTGAGAGGGGGGGACATCCTCAGAGTTAATATTCACATTTAAACAAGGACAGAAGAAAACATCTCCCTGCTTTGTTATTCTGCAGCAGAGTCTCTCCTCTTCTAGGGTTCATGTAGAGCTCTGCTTAGTTCCTGAGGTTCTCTGAGACGTTAGCTTGGTAACCCGTTCTACGACGTCCATGTCTAGAATGCTTTATAAACATGCATATAATGCATTCTAATATGCTCATAGCACTGTACAATCATAGTTGTAAGCACTCATACATGCCCTGCTTTATAACACAAATCCTAACGCACTAGCATTTTATAATAACTTATAAGGTCAAGTTTCATAATATTTCATAATTGGTGGTCACTCACTGACATTCTTTTTATTATAGTTACCATTATTATCATGCTTATATCATACTTTTTATAATGCATTATAATCACTGGCTGTGGTCATTGTGTGCTTTAAGTAAAGTGAAACAAATATGATTAACTCTGCAAGAATAACACACAAAATGTAAAATGTATTTTTACCTTAAAGTCTTAAATATACAGCTGTGATTATAATTTATGATTAAAAGATTATAATGTATTAAAACTGTGAGTTATAAAACACTATGGTCTTTGCAAAGCATAAAGAATCTTTATGAATGAACTGTCAGTATGAAGTGCTGTAAGTAGATCATAATGCATTTTAAGTATGTTTATAATGCATTATAGACTTGGGCGTGTTACAGTTAGATTTGATAGACAGTTGTCTGCTCTTATTGTCGACTGCACTCATGTTGTAATTAGACTTCTTCTCTGTTACAGGTTAGACTTCAGAAGAAACATCACTGAATCTAAACCTACTGCGGTCAACGTTCAGCTGACAACAAAAGGTGAGTGAGCTGCCGTCAAACTTACAGTACTTACGGTAATACACCACAACGCTGTTCGCCAGGAGTTCATCACCACTCGGCTGTCTCTGTGTTCCTTTAAAGATGTATCATATAGATAAGATCATATGTACTTTATTGTCCCCAAGGGTGGGTTTGCTATGCGTACAGTCCGCACGGCCACAAATATTTGGCTGCAGGCGGACCGTCGCTGACATTTACAACAATTGTTCCCTTCATTATATAGAATTTTTCCTTTTAATTTTTAAATGATCATGTATAATATTAAAGTCAGAGAGAGTGTTTCAGCAATAACATTTTTAATAGAAAGTATTCTTTGATGTAAGATAAAGTTTGACCTACTAAATCATTTCCACAAACTGTTCGACGTTCTAATCATCAATGTGAAATATTGAATAATGAGTTAACAAACAGAATACCAACACATACAATGAGTGTAGCAGTACATATACACACTGTGGTATACAGAGGCTGTGCTGGCAGAGGCAACTGCAAAATAATTTGTATTATTTATTAATAAATTCAAATACAAACTCCCAACCATTAGCAGTCATTGAGGAGCCAGCTGACAGCTGATCAGCTCTGCCTCATGAGGACCTGACGTCTCTTCAGGTGAGAGCTCACAGGAAGGGATGTGTCATTTGCTAAATTGCTTTTTCTTAAAAGCTTGAAAAACACCATCTTCCCTAAATTAGTTGGCATGTAAGCGCCACCTGTTGATCAGTGGAAGAGTGTAGAACAGGAATACGTCATGTGCCAGGTGCGTGTTGGAGACATAAACTGTATATATATAAGAAGTAGTGCTGGGCAACGATTACAATATTTAATCGCGATTAATCTCATGATATTTTTTGCGATTAAATGCGATTAATCTCATTGTTATGGCAAAGTTCAATAATGAATTCAAAAGTAGCGTATTGAGCACTTTTATTTTAAAGAACTGCTATATGAACAACAGGTCAATAACATCTGGTTTAAACACCTTAAACACATCAGGTTCTTGTTAGCAGCAGGATTCCCTTTACACAGCAGCAGTTATAATGATTCTGATCATAGATATTCAGCCGGTGTTCACAACTTTATCTTCATGTGTGTAAGAGATGCAATTTAAATATACTTCTTGTGCCACGGGAGTTCACGGTTAGGACCCAATAGCAAGACCACAGGAGGCAGAAGTTGATATAATAGGTTTTATTACGCCAGAATAAAGACAGGACGGTGTGGAGCCCGTGGTCCGACACCGGAGGGCAGGCAGATCGACGGTGTGAGTCCCGTGGCTCGACACCGGAGGGTAGGCAGATCGACGGTGTGTAGTCCGATAACACAAAGGAGGGCACGGGGGATTCCCGGACCGACGGACACCGGAGGCAGGCGCTCGAGGCAGAAGATGCTACGGGGTTGAAGCGGGTGAAAGATGGTACGACCTGACAACCCCAGACTGCAGGACCAGAGTTTATATAGTGCCAGGGGAATAGTTAGTGAGACCTGAGTCTGGTGTATCAGCCGGTAATCGGTTTTGTTTTTTTGTTCTGGGTTCAGAGGTCGCAGCCTGTTGTCTACTACATGAGCGCAGAAAACATTATGTTTCCCACAATTTAAGCTTCTGCATTTTCCAAATGCACTAGTATTATTCAAATGTATTGTTCGGTTGGTAAGCCTCGTACCGAATGGTTTAATACGAATACGTGTATTGTTACGCCATAGAAACAAATAACCGTAGCTGTGACGTCATCATGAGGTTATTAGGAGCTGACTCAGCACTGAAGGCCCAGGTATAACATGCACGGCCCGCCACTGGAAGTAGTAGAAGTAGTAGTATCAGTAGTCGTAGTAATAGCTTTAGTAGTGGTCATAGTAGTTGAAATAACAGTAGTATTAGCTCAGGGGTCGGCAACCTTTTCTATCGAAAGAGACATTTTGCTCTATTTTCCACCAAATAAAATGTGTCTGGAGCCGCAAAAGCTATTTGATATCACAGCTTATAAAGTCTTATATATAGTTATATATTATATATACAAAAACTATAGTTTGTTGTATTTATGAAAATATAGAACAAGAATAAAGACAATTCTTGACATTTTATTGCAATTTTACTTGTTATAACAATATCAAACTCTTATGAAGAGGAGAGTTTGCTGCAGCAGCTCAGAAATCGCTCTTTGTCGCTCATCTCCAGCGTGACACTTTTCAGCAAATGCTGTGTGTTTGTTCTGGAAGTGACTTTTAACATTACATTGTTTGCACATATCAAGTGGTAGTTTCTGTGTAGAATAACTAAATGTGGGCTGTAAACGTCTATTTCTCTGCGCTTCTATGGTAACACCCCACTGTCTCTGTGTGTCCTTGGTCCCTCTCCTAAATAACCTAGTTCTCTGCATTTTGCACCAAGGACTAATTTCTGGGTCGAGACTGAAAAGTGTTTTTTCCAGTGACCTTAAATGAAAATTACTTTGAATTATACGCATTTCAGCCTATTGAATAAGCATATTAAGATTTTACAAAATACATTGTTGTGGGATATACTAGTAGACACTTTAAATGTCTGGTTATTACTTTCTAACCACCACCTGTGTATCCTGCTCGTCATCAGTTTAAATAAACATTAACAGGAAGTAGAAATCAGTGCTTTTTGTTTCTTCACTTTGTCACATTGATAGATCTAATGATAAATAGGCAAACACTTTCTACGATGTTCATGTCTGTAATGCATTATAAACATACTTATAACGTGTTATCATTTGCTTATTGTACTGCATAAGCACTCATAAATATTGATAAGCCTTTTATGACTCATCAGGTTACGTATCATAATACTTTTGAATTGCTTTTTTTGGCACGAGCATAGTGTACTATAATTATCATAGTTGTCTTATTTTATAATCTTCTTACAATGCATTATAATCACTGTTATAATGCATTATAAATGTCCTTACAGTGCATTATAATCACTGTTATAATGCATTATAAATGTCCTTACAGTGCATTATAATCACTGTTATAATGCATTATAAATGTCCTTACAATGCATTATAATCACTGATATAATGCATTATAAATGTCCTTACAATGCATTATAATCACTGTTATAATGCATTATAAGGACATTTATAATACATTATAATCATTATAATGTTTGTGTAATGAGCATTGTAGCCTCTAGAGGGCTTCAGGCTGCCAGTCTGGTTCAAGTCACCACTATCTCCGTCTGCTGGGCTCTGATGTATTCCGGCCAGTGTCCTGCCTTTCCCCTCCGTTTGAATTAGCCGGCAGCAGGCTAACCGAGTGCTATGATGGTTCACCCAGCAGCAGCACCAACAGGCATGCTCTCCTTCTCATGGTTCTGCATGACTAGGTCCTCATTTTTGTTACAACCTTCTGCGGGCACAATCTGTGAAAACATTCTCCCACTTAACATCATATGTGTTTTCTTTCTGCCTCTTTTGTTTTTATGCTGGAGAATATTAAACCAAGTAATTCATTGGGGTCAACATGAGACGGAAGAGAACAATACGAGAAAGCAAAGACAGTCCTTTGTTTTAGGCGCTTACTGTGAAAGCTGGATCTGTTGTCTTTTTAAATGATGAGCATAGTTTAATGAACCGCGGCTGAAGTGACAGTGTGCTACAGTCGATGTGTTGATGCTGCCTCTGACAGTGATGGCTGAGCCTGCAGTTCACTCTGCGTTGATGAGTGATGAGCAGCCAGAAGATTGATAGGAAGGGAGGCATATGCAGGTCTTGTGTTTGGACCGTGATGACATGAGGAAGTCCGATGTATTGCAGTTTGATACATTATTTTTTCTGTATGTAGTGTGCTGCAGGAATGAGTCCTAAAACCCGGAACTGAGTCAGCATTTTCCTACTTCTGGTTCCCTCATCTCAAGGTCAATGTTTTGTTTTTGAATGGTTAGATGCCTGAAGTACGGTCTGTGGTTAACACGAGCTCAAGAGTTTTTCATCAAACTTTGTTCTACGACATTAAATACGTAGAAGCTCTTACCTGTCTTCAAATAGGCAGTTTCTAACAAGTGGCTAAATACGACTACAACCAACACCAGTCTGCCTCTGGCTCAGTGGTGTCGACGTGAAGTCATGCAGCCATGGTGTAGTTTGTTTATAGCCTAACGTTAGATTTTTTACGCGACGATTGCGTTCGTGCTTCAAAGATCATAAAAGTGATGTTCATTCGTGAAGATTGTCTTGCTGAAAAAACTTGTTAGTATCACAAACGTTTATTTTCTGTGTTAATTTAAAATCCAATGGAAAAATCCCATTTGTTCTTTGTCGAGGGAACCAGTGCGACGCTTACTTCCTGGTTGGCCAACCAAAATGCATCACCCCTGCAGCACTCAATCACCCCCATATTGATCCTGTTTGAAATGACTCTGCCCTACAGAGGCAATTGGACGACACAAGCCAAAGGTACCACTGCACGGCTGTGGCTCCAACCACAAGGTTTGCCGTTTGATCCCCGGCAACTGGCAGAGTGCAAAAGAGGCATGGGTCTTTAGACAGTTATGAGTCAAAAGTCAATGGTATACAAATGTGGCTGGCTAGAGTATGAGTGGAAGCACACTAGCTGCAATATTTTGCCAATCAGCTCTGTAGTAGTCAAGTTGTCACCAAACTTCCAGGACCCCCTATTTTGCAAGAAGTCACGAATTTCTGTGTCAGATTCTGGTGTGACCAGAAATTTAACAATACATTTCACTCATATCATACTCATTCTGTTTACTCACATTGTCTCCCTTTCTCTCTGCCACTTTCAGTCTCTTCCCAGCAGCCCTTGCCCTGACCTCGTAGAGGCACCTGCTGATGACCTTTCTCTGACTCAGTTCAATCGACCAGGACCAGACAGCCATGAACCCCCAGGAGACAGAGCTCGGCCAGGAGGTTATGGAGGAAGCCGATGCCCCTCCTCGCCACCGCCACAATAACCACAGCAGCCGGTCCCGTAACCCCAGCAACCAGGAAAAGCGCTACAGACGCTTTGAAGCCCCTGCCGGAGGAAGCGCTGGCAGCAGAGCGAGGGAGCCCCAGCAGCGCAGACCGCAGGAGGAGCAAGAGGCGGAGCTTCAACACGGAGCTCAGTCTCCGCAGCCCCAGCAGCCCCAGCAGTCCCAGCCCATCCCCCGACCTGCGGTGACACGTTATCGCCGACAGGATGACAGCGAGGCCCGGATCAGAGCCCAGCAGCAGAGGCACCGACAGAGGCAGCAGAGGGAGGCAGAGAGAGCACAACACTTGTCACAACAACAGGAGAAGCAGCACCACGCGGAGATGACCCAGGAAGATGAACGAGAGAGGGACGATTCAGTGCTTGCCCGCTCAGCGAGCACCGAGAGCGGCTTCCACACCCATACTGACCGGGCCGAGGGGGACGATGGTCTGGGGATGATGTCCCTGGAGCCTGAGGGGCAGCCAGAGGCGGAGGACGAGGCGGGGAACTACGGAGTCCAGCTTCGGCCGGAGGCGGAGGGGTACACTGAGAGTGCCGAGGCTGAACAGCAACACCTACATCTACATCCTAACTATCCTCCTCAGCCCCCGCCACTGCCACGTGAACCCCTGCCTGATATTCAAAACCCCCAGAGACAGGATGAAGCAGAGGAGATGCTGAACGCTGGCTACTCCAACTACGTCTACACCCAGCCCCTTAGCCACTCCAGAGAAAGGGCCGATGTCTCCGCTGGTCAGAGCTTGGAGAGTTTAGACGGTGTCCTTGCGGACGAAGCCTACTCCGAGCCATATGACATTTACTCCCTCTCTGAGCATGTTTACGAGGAAATCTGTGATGCTCCCGCATCAGATTCATCTGCTGCAGACAGGGCCGAGGACACGGAGTCACTCCGACAGAGGCGGGCCGGCTTTCAGCTGTTGGAAGTCCGGGCGGGTGGTGGGCACTACCATCAGCAGGAAGCGGTGGGCTCCCGTTTGCGCCACTACGACGAACGCTCGGATGGAGAGTCAGACAGCCCGGAGAAGGAGGCCGAGTTTGCCCCGTACCCACGCGCCGACAGCTGCGACCAGGACGAGGACATTGACAGCATCGTGGCTGAGGTCAAAGAAAGCCTGAGCTCTCAGAGTCTTCACCATGCTGTGGAAGACACCATAGATGAAGAGAACGAGTTTCAGCAGGGTGAAGAAAAAACCCAACAACATGAGTCCCAAACCGACTCAGAGAAAAACAACAAGTCTGCCAACCCAGGGAAGCCACCTGGGAAACAGGCTGCGAGTCCCTCAGAGGAGCTTATAGCAGTGAGGAACAGTCAAGAGAAGAGGGACGCCATATCCCTGGCCATCAAGGACATTAAGGAGGCCATAGAGGAGGTGAAGACTAGAACGGTGAGATCTCCATACACACCCGATGAGCCCAAGGAACCCATTTGGGTAATGAGGCAGGACCTGAGCCCCACTGCAGAGTGTGACCTACAGCCATCACTGGGGGCTGATGTAAGTAGAGCAGCTATTGTTTGCAAAAAATGTGTTGTTGTTTTTGTTCACTTATTCTAAAGAGTGAAGTCAACCAAATTAAAAACTAAATGTTTTCTCATTTACCTCTAGTGGTGTCAAAGTGGTAAGAATGGGCAGAAAGACCGGAACACTTAATGTATACAGTACCATCAACAGTATTGGTCCCACAACTCATCTCGCTCAGAGACTGAATGTGTCGGACTGTCCGACTGGACAAATCGCAGCTTAGAGGCAAAACATCACGAGACATCACCTCCGTGTGCAACAGATGGCGGCACATTGTCATAACACGTAGAATTCTGGCAAGCTACAGCTCAAATAATGTCAGTGACGCGTTTTTCAATCATCGACCTAAACCGTCCTTTTAAGGCTTTAAAGGAATACTACACCCCCCAAAAATGACCATTATATATCAATGACTCACCCCGTGTTACCTTGAATTCTTGAACTAAACTTCTCTCATACCTCCACAATGAACGGAGAATCAAAAAACCGAGAAAAGTCTTTATGAATTGAAGTAAATTGGGACGGCGTTTATCATTTAGGACTAGTCTGGACTTGAACCGACGAGTAGCTCGCCTGTGCATGCGTGAGACTTTTCTTAATACCTCAGTTAACCAACAGAAGCAACATATAGAGTTTCTGACCTGTTAACACCCTCTGCTAGTGTTTGCTAGCTACCTGTTACCACGTAGGATGTAGCCACATGGCACATTTTACACTGTATGTCTGTATTTTCCAGATTAATGGATTTTGTCTGCCTATGATATGGTAAAAGCTTTGTTTCTATCTACATGGTAAACATAGCTGGAGCAAGCAAGCCCTATAGTTCCATTTTATTCCAGGTAAATTCCCATTGATAGTTTCCATCGTGAATATTCACAGAATTTTGCAACCCTATACTAGGCCCCATACTTAAATTTAGCTGAAGAAAGAATCGTAATGCTCCATAATATACAAAAGCATAAAAAGCATACAATACATTGTGGACAGTATCCTGCTTCCAGTCCTGACCTGAACCCAATCCAGCAGCTTTGGGATGACGTGGGGACGCAGACTGCAAGCCAGGCCTCATCATTATGGCCTTATCCATGCTGGTGACTGACACATTATTAATCACAAAGACAAAACAAACATTAAAACAAACATTATTATTTCATACATCTGCAAGCTGTCGATCTAGGTGGGCCTGCAGACATCGAGGCCCATCCGTAGATCTGCCTCTGCTCAGAAACCTTTCCATACTCTGTAGACCTCCCCTGTCATTAGGATAGCATGCTACGCCTCACGTTGTTTCTTATCCATCATTGTTCTCGGCCTGAATACAGATCCCATTCATTTGGTATTCACCCCCTCCTGTTGTCTCCCCCCTCCTCCCAATGATTTATTCAGTGAGGGTGAGAGAGAGAGAAAAAGGTAAAGGGCAACACCAGTTAAATAATTCACTGAGTATCCAATAACAGAAGCACATCGGCTGTTTTTCTGTTTTATCACCGTGATTGGAACATACACTTCTGCTTTAAACTTCATCTTGTAATTAATGCGTCCTCAACATAAAGTGTAAATGAATTTGACGAATAAAGACACAACGTCATGCTGTCAGAGCAAATCCAGGCCGATACACAGACAGAGGCTCAGACCCGGCCTGTTGAATCCCCGATGAACCCCGTTACCTGAGCGTGTCACCCGAGCAGCTGACTCCCCGTCCGTAGACGACCGGTGTTGCATTTTGAACCGCATGCCACCGCCCTCAACACCAGTCCGTCTGTGGCGTCTTGTTGTTTGCTTCAGCTGGGTTTTGTGCATTCGTCGAAAGCCATGGAGAACTTCTGGATCTATCAAGTAGAGAAGCTCGAGGAGGAACAAGCCAAGCAGAAGCAGCAGACAGAGCAGCGTGGTGGAGATGAGGTGTGGACAGGTCAAAGAATTTGTGATCTTCTTTTACATTAGCGTGGTGAAGTGATGGGTTGTACTTGTAGTAGTGGTGGAATCAATTGTCTCCTGAGTTTGTTGAGAGTTCTTAATGACACAAGATGACATGTTTGTAAGACCGAACTTCTCATTTGAAAGCTCTTTTGAGGATTCATTAAGAAGCTTATCTCCGTATGTCAACGTAAGATATGGCCATCATCACCAAAATATTAGCTTACTGCTCTTCCAACTCCGTATTTTTTGTCTCTATTCTTCTCTTATGGCTCTTTCTCTCACAGCTGATAGTTTATTGTTATTAAGTCATGTCTATTAGAACCTGTCATCCTGCGATAATGACAGCGGTGGAAGAACTATTGAGATCCGTTAGTTCAGTCAAATAATACCACACTATGAAGGAAGAACTCAGTTAAAGTACAAATCAACACTATTTAGTATCAAAAGTACGACTTTATATACTATTGGGTTGTTGATGTGTGATGGTTTTTTTAGTTGACTTAATAATTGAAATACATGCATATTAAAATGCAGCCCGTTCTCACTCCCAACGCACAGAGGCTCCCTTTAGCGCGTGCATGAGACGCACAGGGCTTTCAAATAACTTCAATGTAAAACCATCTCCTTCATTATGAGACGGGCATGCAGAGCAGCTGACGTATAAAGAGGACGACAATCCGCTGGGGGGGGGGGGGATGTCGTGGTGGATTGTTGGGTCGAAACAAACACAGAACCTACTTAACCAACACTGTGTACATGTTACGTATTAAGAGTACTTACTGTACGTTTCCTGTGAACACAGAAGTTTATTTTGACAAGACATAATCAAATAAGAAAATAAAATAATATTTAGATCACTAAACATTTTATTCATAATATAAAATGATCATAACTATATGCTGTCAAAAAATAAATAAACTATAAATAAAATTCGAAAAGAATCCAGACAAAAATTTTAATTAAATTTCTTCACCTTTGTTGTTTCGGGGTTGAGGCAGAAATTTCAGAGACAGATATCTCAAAAGCCGCACTAACAAAACCACGACTATCTCCATGGAAAGACACGGCTAGAGGGAGTCCTGTCCCCGCTGACTATAACACACCGTTTATCTGAGCCGTAGCCTGCGGGATGCTTCCTGCTGGTCCGTATGTTTCTGTGTTATGACAATGTGCCACCCCTCCGTCCCACACAGAGGTGATGCGTCGGGATGTTTTGCCTCTAAGCAGCGATCCGTCCGACTCTGAGCGGGATGAGATGTGTCGCTAGCGCTCTCGACGTTAGCCGCGTGAGGCGTCTGCAACGATGCAAGTGTTCTGGCTTAGAAAAGGTGTCTTTCACACCTCCACACAGTTTGGTGCACCTTTGTTCCAAGTTCAGATCATTCTGACATAACGTTTGTTCTCGGGAGCTCACTAAAAACTTGCAAAATTTGAGTTACAACACTAGACCTTAAGCTTTCTAGTCATGCCGAATGTCCTTCAGTCCATATCTACATGTAAGACGACCGGTTTATAAACCCGGTCGCTTCCGCCGATAGCTTTTTCCCTTTTCACTTTTATTTTTGTGTTCTGCTTCTTCTCTCCCTGCAGTCCCCCAGCTCCGGCTCGCCCTCCCCTCCAGGAGCAGAGTCATCCAGCAGACATCTGCTGCAGGACGACAGCTTTGAATCTTCCCCCTCCAGTAAAGAGGTGTGTGTTCTTCACTCTTCATTCGATATTCTAGTCCAATTCTCACTTTTGCACATCAAGTTGAAGTCATGTTTGAAAGGAAATCCCTCTGCTCTCTTTTTCTCATGAATAGTCCAGGAGAAGCCTCGCGTCCTTCCCCACATATGTAGAAGGTGAGTGCTTCGAGAGCCAGGAGTCTGAGGGGAGGCGCTGCGTGAGGTGAAAGGATGAATGGTAAATGGTCAGCAGCAATGTCTCTGACACTCGGCTCACAGAGAATATTAAAGTGCCTCATAGACAATCGAAGACGAGATGCTGCTAGAGACTGTGAAACGCGCCACAAACAAACTTTTAGTATGTGATATCAGACGGAGTTGCAACCAAAGTAAAGCAGGGCAGCCTCCAACTGCATCCCGCATCCCAGAGCGCACTTTATCAAGTTGTATCTACGGTGGGGGTATTCAAGACGTTCTTCCTAACATGGGGGTACTAAGCGGGGCATAACGTTCCTACTTCACACCCTGTGATCTCTTAACTTGAGATCCAGTGGCCCGTTTCCTCTTGATTTCAACGGTAATCACAGCTGAAGGCCAGAGTTGTTTCCTGGAGACACATATTGTAGTGTCTGTGTAATAACTGTGGATTAGGACTGTAAAATGCAAAAACACTAGTTTTCTATCAGCGTTATGGTTATTTTAGAGAAGATACTAAGGACCAGAATTATTTCCTGGAAATCTGTTTTTTTACTCTAAACTAAATATTGAAGGCCATTACTTTGTCAGGAGTTTCACCAGCTTCCCCAGTTGATTACTTACACAAGCACAATAGTTTTTTGTATTACCAGTTTCCTGAAAAGGTATGTTTAAATGTGAAAAGGAGGGTTTATCTATAAATAAATGAGTGTGTGAGTGATGTGTGAACAAAGCGCTCTGTGGTAACCTTCAGCACACAGAGAGCAGTGAGAGTACAGTCTGCTGTATGTAAGAGCTGCTGAAGTGAGTTGATGAGAGGAAACGTCCTTTAAAGAGACGTTTAGTTACATTACACACATTTAGAGACTCTACAGGTGAATAGAGTCAACACATGAACTCACAGATATCACCATCAAACTTCACCACTTCATCACTCACATTAACACCATGATTTATTGTGTTACAATGAGATTATTTAACATGATTGTCATATATCTGTCCGTGTACTATGTGGCAGCCCCCTCGCTCTGAAGTCTCTCCACTAATGCATGTCTATTGGTCCCCAGTGTGCATGTGTGTGTAATGAATACCAACAACAACAATGTCAATTGAGGGATTAATGAAGTTCTTCTTCTTCTACTTACTATATTAATCTCAAAGTGGGAGGGTAAATATTGTGTCATATAGTGAGACTGAACCGCTCTCCCCCCCTCCAGTCCCAGGCCCATGTGACCCAGAGGACCTGATCGATGGGATCATCTTTGCAGCTAACTACCTGGGCTCCACCCAGCTGCTGTCGGATAAGACGCCGTCCAAGAACATCCGCATGATGCAGGCGCAGGAGGCCGTCAGCCGCATCAAGGTGAAGACGCACCGTTAACACTCCCTGGTTTGCATTTTTACAAGCCGTAGTCATTCTCTTATGATTCAAGCTCAGTCAGACTGCTGCATTTTGGTTTTGGCACCAAATATAGAAACAATACATTATGTAGGCACCGTACATCATACTTTATCTGGTGTTTTCAACAGTCCTTGTTTTCTAAGACCTCCATTATTTTCTTATTTCCTGTCTTACTTAATTATGACCGAAGTCTTGTTAAGTGACTGTACCACCTACAGTACACTAGTATATATTTGCCATGATGATCAGGCTCATTCTGTAATACAATTTCATGTCTTTCAGCTTTGAGATTATCAGCAGATAGTTTACTATTTGTTAATAACTTGATATCGGGAGAGGTCAAAATGCAGCAACGCTTGTCGTATACTGAACTTTACTATTGGACCAGCGCGTTTCTGCTTGTGGCTTTCAATAGGGCCATCCTCAAGGCCACAAGCAGAAAGGTGAGTTTGTGCTCGTTAGAGGTATTTTGTGAGGGAAGAAGCTTACTCTCACCCTAACCCAGCTAGCCACGGCCAGTCCTGTCTTGTAATACCATTTGTACTTGAACGGGTGATAGTGAGTCACTTTGGCTCCAGTCTGTCCTCAGTCCAACATGAGAGGACCAAGAAGTAGAGCTGCCCCGGGGGCTGGTCAGTCTCACTGAAGGTGCATGTCTATGTACGTTTTGATAGTTTGTTTATTGGATTAAATTAGAAAGCGACTCGTATTTTAGTTCCCTCCTCCCTGCCACCAGCAAACTATTGTCTGGGAGGAGGGCAGGTAGCGTCTAGCTGTAGTAGCTCACATTCAGCCAGCGTAAACCCAATCGTCGGGGCTCATAGTGGGCTATCTCTGTGTCTAATCCGGCCAAAGAAAGTTTGCTGATCCGGCATGGAGTCGGGCCAGTCACCCAGGATCAGACCCCAGCGCTGGGGTTTGCCCTGTCTGAATTTCGAGTTGCTACAGCTATCCGCTAACTGAAGGTGCGTCTCCTGGAGGTGCCTCACGCGCTACTCCCGGCAAAGGAGTGTGTCTTTGGACAGATTTTCATGACTGCGAGAGCATCGCAACCGTGCAAGATGCAGTCAAGAAACAGATATGTAGTTAGATCAAAGTAAAAAGTCGAGATTGAAGACGGGCGTGGTTTGTTCTATTTTATGGTATTCTGTATTGTGTTACAGTCTATTTATTTGTAATAGTTACGTCACACTTAGACTAGTCTATTATGCAAATGAGTCGGGGATAAATGTCAATGTTGTATTTTAGATTTTTATTTATTCTGGCTTCATATCTTTTCATTTATAGCTTAGATAACTTGGTAACCGATATAATGTTGCTATAAACATAAAGACCACTGTTTATATACCTAAAACTGCAACTGTCAGAAAACCAGCTTGGAGTGTGTGCTCAAAGAGAATATTAATATACACAGCACACATCGTGAAGGATTCCTCCCTGAGACGTCCAGCAACTAGACCGCTCCTCTGCAACATATGAGCTTCAACATCCGTGTGAAGTCTGATCGTCTGATAGACGTTAGCCATCGCTCCGTCTCTGTGCAGCCAGTCCCACGAGTCTGAAGCTTTTCACACTAAGAGAATAGAAGAGCTGATGGAGCTGATGTGGTTCCGTACAGAAATGTGCTGAGAGTCAGCTTCTCCGTCTGTGCTGGAGCCAAATGCAACAGAGATGCCTGCTGGTAGAGAAAGGCCAATGCAAATGCTTCATACGGCCTTCCATGGTGACATATCCAAAGGCTCCCGCTGTACCTTGAGAGCATACAGGTTTAGTATGAACAGAGAATGAACACTAACAGCAGTGTGCTGGCGGAGCCGTGTGTTGGCATGAAGTATTCTACAGCCAGATGGTGGTCAGGACAGATGCACTCGTCTCGTCTCACCTGTCAGAGGCTGAGGGGGCTCTGCCCTGGAGCCAATCACTCTCTCTGGACACAGGGGGATGTGGCTGTTTTTGATTGAACCATTAGAATAGGATGTATGTTGATAGACTTAATATCATACAGGTAACTTGGTAACCTGTTCTACTATATCTACTACATAATAAATATGATGCCAAAACTGATAAATAGTTCAAATCTCATAGTGATAATCACCACAGAAGGCAAGCCACTGGAGTGCCTTTAAAGAAGAAGGAAAGGTAATATAAGTAGTCTAATATTATTACTATTTTGTATTGTTTATATACACATATATATATATATATATATATATATACACATATATATATATATATATATATATACACATATATATACATATATACATATATATATACATATATATATATACATATATATACATATATATATATATATATACATATATATATATCTACAAAACATTTGAATAGAATAATACTGTAACAATTCTATCAGTCAAATTCAGTTTTAACTCTACTCAACTTTAATCTTAATTCTCTGATTATTACCCCCCTCCTACGGCACCGCAATTAGTTTTTCTACCCATCTGCTCCTATACGCCGTTGTACTTTTCAGAGGCCAATGAAGAGGGCAGCACAACGTAGTTCCACAGCCTCAGCTTCAGTATGGGATTGAAATGAAAAAGAGGACATGCGGGGCAAATGAACACAGGGCTCGCAAAGTCTTCTGACTTGGAATACTACATAGATGTGCTGCTGGGGTGTAGCCAGCTGTGATGTCCATCACACACAAATGACTATTCAATGTGAGCAGAAACACTGTGCAGTGCAGCGACATGTCTGACGTCCCTGTGTCTCCTGTGCACTGCTCTAACCCATCACTCTCTTGTCTGCTTTCTTCCATGCCTGCCAGACGGCCCAGAAGTTAGCCCAGAACAGGAAGAAGGTGCAGTACCTACGTGTCCGTCTCGTCGCAGAGCACAGTGTCTCTCTGTCCTCTGCTTGGCTCTTTGTCTCTGTCCGTGTCTGTCTGTCTGTGTCTCTCACTGTCCTCTGTGTCCTCTTCAGCGTGCTGTCATTTGAACAAACATTTCCTGAATCCAGCTTTATTGTGTTGTCGGGGGTGATATTCATTTGTTATGACCCCTTCCTTTGGTCTCCAGTCCCTTCACCATTGTTTTCATTCCACTCTCTCAACTGTTTCACTGTGCTCTAACCTCTAATGTCTGTTCATCAGTAACATCTGCTCGTGAACGTTTTGGACCTTTTATGTCTGTCTGTAGGTTTTATGGATGCGTGTCTAATATTGCCTTGGGAATGTGTGTGTGTGCGTGTGTGTAGGCCCCTGAGGGAGAGCCTCAGCCCATGACAGAGGTGGATCTCTTCATCTCCACCCAGAGAATCAAAGTGCTCAATGCAGACTCCCAGGTACTCACTCTGACTGACACACAACTTTAGGGCCTTTTCCTGTCACCTCGCATAGAAAGGATCCTCACATCACCAGCAGTTCAAAGACAACAAGGTTCAAATGGAGCCAAGTGCACCGTAGACGTTTGATGCTACACAGTTGCATGGGCTGCCGACCGGTAAACTCCACAGTCGGGGTTTAGGTCGGATGGGTGTCTGCAGTCTCTGTGTGGTTCCATTAGGGCAGTGGTTCCCAAACTGGGGGAACTACAGGGGGGGCGCGGCTTCATCACCAACCCACACACACCGGTAAAACAATATCAAATACAAGTGTGTGTGTGTGTGTGAGAGATTTTTAGAAAACCTTTATTTTACTTAAAACAATATTAACAAACAAAACAGTTACTCCTCACAGTGTGTTAAAAGGAGCGTTAAAAACTAGTTCTTCTCCAGCCACACAACATGTTATTTCACTGTAACACCACTTTTCAATGAAATCCTTCATGTTGTTCATACTGTTGAAATATCTAAAATCAACCCAAACTCTTGCTCTGACCAGAGCGATGAACATAGGGAGAGCTTCCTGTCCTGCTCTGTCCTCTACTCGGTTCTTCCTACTTTTGTAAATTGACAGTTTGGCCTCTCCAACCAAGTGGTTCAACAGCTTCCATTTGGAGGCGTTCACTTTTTTATATAAGACTCCTAAAATGAAGGTGATCCTGGACCAGGTCTCACCAAACCCTTTAAAAACATCTTGCAGTGTGTTGAAAAGGTTGCAGAGTCTGTCACAATAATAAAAACAGTGGAACACGGTCTCTACCTCCTCACAGAATGGACATTGACTACAAAGAGTGGGATTAATAACAGAAATAAAAGCGTTAACCGCAATAGCACCGTGCAAAATCCTCCACTGTAGGTCTCCAGTTCTCTTGTTAACAGGAGGTTTATATAAAACCCTCCAACGTGGTTTCACACCAATGTCCAAGTTCAGTTTCTGTCTCCACACAGTGTCGGCTCTCTGGTCCAGTTTGTTTTTGTTGAGCACTTTTACACAGTTTGTGTAGATAGTTTTGCCTTTCACTGTGTGGAGGTCCAAGAGTTTACACTCCGCTTCATTGAATAAGGGTCCTGAGACCCCATTCAGCCGTGGAATAAGTTCTAGATCCGGAAATGGATCTGTGGAGTCAGGAGCTTCCTCTCTTTCGTACTCCTGCAGCATCTCGACCTTGTCCTCCGTCAGTCTCCCCGCCCATCTGCTCAGGATCCTCATGCTCTGCCGGATGGATCTCAGTCCGAGCAGAGAAGCCACTGCAGATGCGTCGGTCAGTCTGGGCCCAGCTACATCCACTAGTCTCCTCAGGGTGGTGGTTCCAGAGGAGCACAGCATGCTGGTCAGACCTGGTGTTGTGCCGTCTTGGATGTCCAACCTGGCTCCGTACACCAGCGGTTCCTGAAGCAGCCAGTGTAGGGAGCATGTAGGTTCTGGTCTCTTCCATTCAAAACAGTTCCAAGCCTTAAAAAGTGACTGGTAAAAGGGAGATAATCCACACAATTTAAAAAGGTTAAAATCCATTAAAAAAAAGTGTAGTGTCCAGCCCCAGACCAGCTGCCTTCCTTAAAATACAGTCTGTCACCTCTCTCCACACCACATCCGTTGGACCTGTAAGGTACTTTTGTAAAAACTGGAACCTGAAAGTGGTCACTCTACTGTCAATGTGCACCAGCCCCTGACCCCCCTCCTCTTTAGGTAGAAAGAGTACGCTCTGAGGGACCCAGTTCAGCCTGTCCCAGAAGAAGTCTGTGATGATGGCCTGTAGTCTCTGTGTGAGGCCTTTAGGGGGGTCCATGCAGGCCAGCTTGTACCACAGAGCCGAAGCCACCAGATTATTGATGACCAGAGTCCTGCCTCTGTACGACATCTGTGGCTTCAGCCATTTCCACTTAGCCAGTCTTCCCTGCATTTTCTCCACAACTCCCTCCCAGTTCTTTTTTTCAATACATTCATTCCCCACATACACACCAAGATATTTAAAACCATCCTTATTCCAGGTCAACCCCCCTGGTAGGCTGGGCAGACCCTCCCTCCAGTTCCCCACTGCCAGTGCTTCACTCTTTGCCCAGTTCACCTTTGCAGCTGATAGGGTGCCGAAGTCCTTTACAATATTTGTCAATTTACTGACCTCTTCCTGACTTTTAACAAAGACCACAACGTCGTCAGCATAAGCTGATAAAATAAAACTTTTGTTAAAACCCTTTAAAACCTGACCTTCAATGTTCGCTCTGATTTTGCAAAACATGGGTTCGATAGCCAAGCGCATACAGCATCCCTGAGAGAGAGCAGCCCTGTCTCACCCCTCTAAACAGGGCACTTAGGCCGCCATTATTTTCAGCACACTCTCAATGTCCTGGTACAAAACCTTGATCATATCTATGAGACCTGGGCTGAGGCCAAAACTCTCTAGAGTCTTCCAGAGGTAAAGGTGCTCAACCCGGTCAAAAGCCTTTTCCTGGTCTAGCAAAATGAGACCAGTTTTAATGCCCAAAGAACCAGAGATGTCCAAAATATCACGAATTAAGGACACATTGTCCAGAATGCTCCTACCAGGCACGCAGTAGGTCTGGTCTCGGTGGATCACCTGGTCCATCACCTCTCTCAGCCGGTTGGCCAGCGCTTTGGACAGGATCTTATAGTCGGAGCAGAGAAGGGACACAGGACGCCAGTTTTTGATTTCCTGCAGGTCTCCTTTTTTTGGCAGTAAAGTTATTACTGCCCTCCTGCAGCTGAGCGGCAGCATCATGTCTTTAAAACTCTCGTTGAACACGGTTAAAAGATCCTCTCCCATCACGCTCCAGAACTCTTTGTAGAGTTCACATCTTCTGGGACCTTTGGAAGCTCTCCACAGAAAGACTCAAACTGTTCATTGTCCTTGGTGTATTCACTACAGTAGAGTTCAGAGTAAAAACTCACCGCTCTCCTCCGGGTCTCATTCGGGTCTCTGAGTTCTTGGCCTCAGTCAGAGCGTAGAGCATGGATGACCCTGCTCTGCCCATTCTTCTTCTCTAGTCCGAAGAAGAACTTGGATGGTGCGTCCATCAGCGCTGCATCCATAAAGCGGGACCTGACCAGCGCCCCCTGGGCCTTAGTGCCCAGCAGGTCTGTAAGAGCAGACTTTTTAGACTTGAGATCTTTAATATGATCTCGATTTCCAGTGGATTCTGCTAAATTCTGCAGCTCCACGATTTCAAACTCCAGATCTTTCGTAGATCTGGTAATGTCCCGTGTGACATTGAGAGTGTACTGCTGACAGAGCTGCTTTATCTCCACCTTCCCACGATCCCACCACTGTTTTAAAGAGTTAAACTCATGTTTTGTTTCTTTAAAACTGCTCCAAAAAAACCTAAAAACCTCCTTAAAATGTGTATCATCTAAAAGAGACATGTTAAAATGCCAGTATGCGCTTTTTGGCTTTACGTTGGGGATAAAAATGTTGCACATAACCAGAGCGTGGTCAGTAAACCCAACAGAGACAGCATGCTGCACTTTTTAAAGATGTTGAAATGGTGTTTAAAACAATAAAACCTGTCAAGTCTAGCGAGGGAAAACAAATTGCCTCTCGAATGAGCCCATGTGTACTGTCTCTTGTCTCCATTCATCCTCCTCCACACATCAACCACCTCATGCTCTGCTACCAGCTGCCTCAGTGCTCTCTGAGAAGGCCCGTGAGGTTCCAGGTGGTTCCTGTCTATTGCCTCATTCTCCGTACAGTTAAAATCTCCTCCCAAAAATAAAAAGTCCTCCACATTTGCTCTGCTTAAAACCTTTAAAAAACACACTCGTTCAGGTCCAGACACAGGAGCATGCACATTTATGAAGACAAAGTTAAAAAATTCGAGCTTTGCCCTCACCACCAGCAGCCTGCCTTCCACCACCTGCTCCACCTCTAGGGTCTCCGGGGCAAATCTTTTCGAGAACAGGATCCCCACCCCCCCACTGGTGGTGCTCCTGTGGCTCAGCACCACCTCGCCCCCCCACTCTCTCTTCCAGTCGGTCTCGTTGGCTGAGTCGCTATGAGTTTCTTGTGGAAACATCACGTCTGTCCCTTTGATTTTCATCATCTGGTAGACTAGAGACCTCTTCACTGAGTCTCTGGCTCCATTTATATTTAGCGTGCTTATGTTTAAAAGACTCATAATTAAATAAGTTAAAACCAACAAACAAGACATTATCTTGGACTTGAAAAAGACCTGTGAGATCTTAATATTCATCATTCCCGTCATCATTGTCAAGTTCTTTGTTTATCTTTGAAACTATTTTCTTTACTCTGTAGACTTCCTTGTCTGTGAAGCCTCCCTTCTTTTTGCTGCTCAAATGTGCCTTTAAAGTGTTGGAGAGCTTCTCCTCGTCAGAGAAGTAGTCTCCTAACTCGACTCCCCTTTTGTTTTCTGTAAAAAACCCTTTATTTTCCCCACACTGTACCCTTGAGTGCTCTTACGTCTACTAGCCCTTACGCCAGATAACTCGCTGTCAGCAGCAGAACCCTCCTCCATACTGGACTCAGCCTCTGCTGCTCCTTGGCTTCCTTTTCCTGTACTTATTGCTGGTTTCTTTGCCTGTGAGCTTTCCTTGCTCCTTGTTTTCCTTTTCAGACGAGGGACTTTAACCGGCTCCTCATCTCCCTCCATGTCCACCTCACTGCCTGTCAACCCGACATCTTTCACCACTTTTTCACTCTCACGCTTTTCTTTTTCTTTTACTATTTTCTGTCTCCTACCAGTCTCCATCTGTCCTCCAGTACACACCTTACCGCCCTGTTGTATTTCCCCCATCTCCTCCTGTCCTCCTTCTCTCACCTGGCTGTCATCCTGACTTTGTGCACTCACCTGGACCACCTCTGTCCCCTGTTCTTCCACCTCCTGGGCCACCTCTGTCCCCTCTTTTTCCACCTGCTGGACCACCTCTGTCCCCTCTTCTTCCATCTCCTGGACGTCCCCTGTCCCCTCCTCACTCACCTGCTGGACGTCCCCTCCTCACTCACCTGCTGGACGTCCCCTGTCCCCTCCTCACT